ATATTAAACCTTGGATTTTCCCTTTTTCCAAAACAGAGAGCAAGTCTAAGCTGAGCAATCTCCCATTCCTATGCATCACCACTGTTGTTGTATTTATCAACAGTTGATAGAAGATTACTTTGGGAAACCCTTATAAAGCTCTACAATACCAAGTTACATTCACAAATGTCACTTCAAACTTTGCTGTTCAAAAAGAAACCTTGCATGTCCAGAAAAGATGTCAACTTCTCTAAGATCCCCCTGACATGGACTATTACACAATGGGAAAGTAGATTGTGCTCAAGCAGATCAGTATTACAGATCATTGATGAAAGGAATAGACACCATGCACTTTTGGCCAAAAAAGAAAAGGAACATCCTGACTGTCAGCAGAAAAGTCTAAAAGCCTGGTTCTGTGATGGTATTTCTTGGACTGGTGTTGATTGTGGAAAACCAGTAAAGCTTACGTTTCACCTTTCATTTGGCCATCACATTCAGAACCAACAGAATGAAACAAGACATTATAAAGATGATTTTCAAATACTGTATGAAAGCAGTGCAACAGCTTAGTGGTTAGCACTGATGCCTCACAGCATTAAGGTCCTGGATTCAACCCCTGGTTTGGACCAAGACTATTTCCATGTGGAGTTTGCATGTTTTCCTCATGTTTGTGTGGGTTTCCACCCACAGACCAAAAACATGCAAGTTTAGACTGACTGCAGTCCTTCCATTGCAAAAGAGATCTGTGGTCTCATTGGGATTTGCCTGGTTAAAAAAAGGTAAATAAATAAACGATAAATTCAAAGAATTTACTGCCGGGCTCATCTAAAAGGTTTGACTGAATCCACAAAGGACTTCACTGCTACAAGGTTGGACTCCAATAAATGAGTTGAGTAAATGCTTGAATGTTAGTGCTTATGAAGGCCATGTTTGCCAGCTATGTGTTTGACTAGAATCTTGACAGAATTTTTTTCTCAACCCTCCCCAGAAATCAAAGTCAATCTACAGTCTACAATGAAAATGCAATATTTAACTTGAAGGAGATGCAAGACTTTTGTGACCTGAAGTGTGAGTCATGAGGCCCTTGGTACACAGGATAATGATTTTATGAACACCATGCCCAACACATTTTATTAGAACATGGCTGGATAGTGGCAAATTTGAAAAACCTACTACTGCAAAAAGAATAATAATAAAATAAAAAAATAAAAGTAATAGTGATGCTGCCACACTGTTTGTACTCACCTAAATTCTTTCCCTGCATCTCCCTGAGTGTTTCTTAATCTTTACCCACACCTTTCTCGGCATGACTCTTGGGATGCACCTATTCGTTAAAAACAGAAGCCACACAGACATGACGCTACTGACACGTGTGTCACAGCAGGGTTGACTCCATGACCTTGTCACAATCATAGGCCGTTCCTGCATTGGATTTGCTGCCATCACAGCCTGATGGTCCACCCAAGACCCTGATAATCTGCAACCATGATGATTAACCACCAAAACTCAGCTACAGAAGTGTTGTGCATACTCGATACCTTCCATGATCTATAATGTGGAATAAAGAGCCCGCTTCAGTCTTAATAATCACCTGAAGACCCTGCAAAGAGCATTCTCATACTGGTTGTATTTTTACATTGTAGCAGGGTTTTCATCCTGTGTGAAGGAGGCTTTAATAGGACTGAGGGAGCAAGAGTGTTGTGACCTGAAACATGTACGGTATTTAAGAATCCTAACTAAAAATGATCCAAAGCCATCTGTGCACCACGCTCATCCTAAAGCCTGCGGAGTGACAGCCGGCAGCACGTAAACAAACAAGATACTTAGTTCATTCCCTAAAACAGTTTGGCTTGTTGTCTTTGCTGCTGTTTTTTGTCTACATATAAGGATTATGTAAGGCTTTTATTGTACCCACCCCACCTCAGAATATTTAACAAGATTAGAGGATAAGAAGCTGATGTCAGCAGGCTACAGATGTGAGGCTGAATGCACCATTAAGCACATGTAGCAACATGCAGTTTAATCCTGAACATGGATGAATGCTTGGATATGGTTCATTGTTTCAAGTGATATTTAAGCTCTCAACACAAGCTTTTATATTGAGTGACAGAGGGCAGCAATAATGTACGTACTGTACAACACAGCTGTGGGGAAAGGTTAAGTCGAAGGAGGGAACCTTACAAACACATCTTTGGTAGATATTGACTGTGTCTTTCTTTGTGTTAGCCTTTCTCAATTTGGCTAACGCCACCTTCTGGCTTCTGCTTTGTGCTTTTTCTGTTTTACATGCAGCATTCTTTAATATTACACTTTTACAGTTGTATTGAGAAGAATGGGGCAACTTTTCAACAATATAGATGACAAATTAGACGATGAATACCAGCTATACGTATAACAGCTATTTTTATCTAGAATTAACATCAACAGCTTTACCATAGATTTTATTTTAGCTGTAGTATTAAACCATCTTGTCAGTAAATGTAACATGCTTGGATGCCACTTAAAATGCATGGAGCTTGAAAGATATAAAGGTTTTTCTTTTCATTACCAGATTAAATCTTGTCTGTACACACATCCTTTCCCTCCTTCCTTCCCGGTATTTCCACGTCACGTCAGACAGAAAATCTTTGGAATTTTCTCTTTTTTTTGCCCCTCTCCTCTGCCTCATTTCTGCCCTCCCCTGCCCCCCTCCTCTTCCTCTGTGCTTCTGTCAGTTCCTATGAGCAGACATGCTCGTGTTCGGGCTGCACAGAGCAGGCTGAATCGCGAGCCGCCTGACTCACACGCTCTCGGCTATTGGGAGGCAGAGCGCTCATTGGGTTGCCTTCGTGTTACACAAAGTGCACACACGCAGCTAACAGACACCCAGCCAGGGGAAAAGCATGCATGCACATCGTCACGGTGCACAAGTCGCTCGCGCACACAGTGAGCCAAGCAAATCCCGAATACGCACAGTCACAGTGCGCTGGTGCTATTTTTATCCAAGCCACTCGAGTGCACGGGGTCTTTGAACAAGAAACACACATGATGAAATGGAGCTGCAGCACATTTCAACTTGTGATTGGCTGCTGATAGAGAGGGGTTACAGGGCTTCTGTAGTGGAAATGTGCTCCTGAAAAACAAGAACGGTGTTTAGGAAGTAGTGACATCAAGTGGTGGAAATGACATATTGCAAACATTTGCAAACTCTTTTTGGGATTGTACAAAATAACAAAAAACATATGATGGATGCAGAAAACTAAGAAATTATCTTTCTAAAGCCAGCGTTTGTCTCAGCTAACTAACTGTAATAAAATGAGGCAAAAATGATGAGGTGGGGATGTGATTAATTGCTCTCTCTGACTAAACAAAAGCTCAATTCTTACTTCACATGACTTCTACATCTCTGAATGTTTCGTTGTTTGAATAAAAAGCAACTGAACCTCAATTCTTGATCTTCTGCATCACGATTCTTGAAAACCTTCTGTGTTCTGGGTTTTTTTTTTTCAGTTCTGCTAAATAGTTATCAAAACTAGTACCTCATTAGCCATGACATCAACCACAGAACCTGGAATATTAAGAAAATGTCAAGGAAGGCTAGTTTAACTGAGCCAGTTCTTTTGTTTGACAAAGACAACAACAAATCAGGCACTTATTTGGTTAGCCATTAAATAAATAAAGCTTTTTCCACTTTCACCATACTTTGTACTCTGTGACCGATATCACGATGACAGTACCATCAATGGATAACTATTTGGCAGAACATCACCTCAAAAATGACTAGACTGTCCCTTTAAGGTTTTTAAATGTTAAATGTCTACACGCTCCCATGTGTTAATCATCAGTATTCACAATGAGCTTGAGGGAATCTGCAGCTACTGGGTGTCATTATGTGTCACGGGCAAATTTGTTTCCAAGATGTGAATTGTGGTGACACCTCTAAAAGCGTACGAGCCAACTTTTATTTATTTATTTATTTAACTGAAACTGGTGAATGTGTTTGATTTTCATTGTGCTGTTTGAACTGGTTGATTTGATTCTTTCTGGCATCAGTTAAAACCAGAGACCATATTCTGGATCTAGCACGTCCATAATATATTTTTACACAATTTGGGGGTGATAGTCATTATTGAAACAAATAAACAGGATGAGCATCAAACCTTCTAATGCGGTGCTACAAAAATAATGATTCCAGTCTCATCACAGTAGCCCATAGTTAAAGTATAAATTTAAACACAAGGGTTTTTATCATGTTAGGAAGGTCTATCTATTGTTTCCTGTTTGTCTGTCAGATCTGTTACTCCAATAAAAATTTGGAGTTCTCTTTTTTTTGACCCATTGTCACATCATGGATGGATGGATGGATGGATGGATGGATGGATGGATCCATGGATGGATGGATGGATGGATGTTTGACAGAACATGACTTTGAAAATCAGAATTTCTTAGAATATATGTAAATATTACAAAAAACGTGAATTTAAACTTGACATGCTGTTTAGTTGTTTTCCTTTTTTTCACTGTGTCCTTTTATAAGAAAACACGTGTTCAAAGACTGAAGTCAATACGAAAACCACCACTGTTAAATAAAATGATTTGTAGAAGGAATAAAACCATGTAACACCAGAATTCTGGAACTGAGTGAGGTTTGTTGTCACCGGGCTGACAAGGAAACCACACTCCCCAAAAACCAGGAAGTACATCCATTTATACTGTATATAGCCTACATGGTCTTCAATGTCTGCGTTCGCCCCCTACTGACCTACGGCTGAATCACAGGCATTCAGACAAAAACCTCATCTACTGTTATCATAACAGTTGATTATGTGTTGTTATATTCTTCGGACATGTAACTAATCTATATCAATCAAAACATAATAGATTAAACATTGTCAACATTATAAACAGGAAAACCTAAAAAATAGTGTTGTGTTTTTAACATCAGTACTAACCTGTAATAACCATAAATTTCTTCACTTTTTTAAGGGTTGTAATAAAAACTGACAAAACTTTTATTTTTGCATGTTTTTTTTTCTTCTCAGCTATCCATGAGTTCCCCAGGGATTACTTCAGTAATCAGGAGCGTGTTGACGGAGCAGTGGGCCTGCATGTTCTCTGTGTGAGTGTCACCTGCAGCACACACAGTCCGTCCATTTTTATAGGAAACCTGACTTGACTCACACCAGTTTGAAGGGCAGACTGGGAATCTGTACGAGGGTAATAGTGAAGCATAAATAAGAAAGCAGAAATTACATAAAAAATCAGTGAACAGGATGCATGACTACAGTGAGATGTTTTTCACTGTAAGTTTTACCAGAGGAAGTGTTTTGTGCTACAAATAGTAAAACGTTTCAATTATTTATTCATCAAATTTGAAACTGAAGGTAAAGTGAAAAAAAAAATGTTTGAACAAATCTGTAAAAATCAGTTAAGTAAACCTGCAAACCTTATAATTAACTACGCAAATAAACACAATAATGGAACAAACTAATAAAACTCAGAAGATGCCAATTATTAGGAATGCGCCAGAAAAGAATGAGCTTAATTTCAAAAAAACATTTTCTACTAATAAAAAGATAAAAATTGTTTTTAAAATACGGGTTGTATAACATGGGAGAAACAGTCTGTCAGACCCAATAAGGAAATTAATAGCTTGGTCTTTTTTTGTGTAAGTTTTTGATTTTGTTGCTTTTATGACAGAAAGTTTTTTTTTTGTTTGTTTGTTTGTTTGTTTGTTTTTTTGTTTGTTTGTTTGTTTTCCCAGACTTGGTGCAAAGTTGACTCTGTTTCCAAGACACTGTAATGCTGTAAAAGTAAAACAAAAAAAATCTCCAACATTTTTGGTTTTTATTTGATTCCAACCACATGATTTGAATCATGAAACATGCCACTTTTGGAGATTTTGAGCGATCAACCGTTTCTTAATTCTTTATTAGCAGTAAATGTGTGAGGATTTGTGTCCCTGTATTCTTTATAACTTTTTTTTTTTTTTTTTGCATTTTTATGATCCTGATGTCTGTGCTTTACTGTATCTTTCTTGTGTGTTCAGCTCCTCTGTGTAGTTTCCCCCCGCCCACTATGGTGTCTCCCCAGGTGTTTATCATTCTTTTCATCCGTTTGTTCCCTAAAGGGTTGCTCCGGCAGTGGAAAATTACGTGTTGTACACACCGTCTTAATCCGTCCTGTGTCCAGTTTTATGTTCAAGCATTTTCAAGTTTTTTGTAAGCAGTTTTTATAGCCAGCTAATCAATTACTTTTTCTCTGACCACCCGCGCTCACATTTGGGTTTCAAAACTACCAGTTGTAACAAAATGTTTGCGTCATAAATCTCATTTGGACTAAATTATCATCCTGAAATTGAATGTCGTTTACCTTTACCTGTACAGTGAAGACAGAACACGCTGACATGGTTTGAGTTTAGATTAGAGCAATGGAATACTGTTCCCTGATGATCCTTTGTTTAAACTTAGCAGCTTTACCAAGTCATGAGTGAAAGAAGCAACACCGGCATGTTATATTTCCCTACGTTCTAAAATGCAGAACATCAGCTAGATTAAAAATTATTGTGTATTCTACATTAGGAAGGTTCCAGCATACTGTACTTCCATTTATTTTACTGAACAAAATATTGTGAGAACTCTGCTCACTTCTCTTTGTCTCTCCCAGAACTGCCACAGTGTTGTTTCTGAGTGTTTTTATCCTCCTCAGATGATTCCTGTTCTGCCTCTTCCAGGCTAAACACCAAGTAATTTTCAGTCCTTAGATCGATCAGGGGTTGGCATCTTAAATGATGGAAGGGACCACTATTTAGGAAGAGTGCTATGGAGGACTGAATCTAACAAATGGACCAATAAGTAAATAAATACACACATGTGGGGGTCATAATAAATACTTACATTAATGAGCTGAAGTGCAAAAGACATTAGAAATGTTGAGTACAGACTCCTGTGTGGTTCTGGTAAAAAGTCTCTGTTGTTATGTCTTTGCAACATCAGCATACTTCTCATATTTAACTTTATGCAACGTGTTGTAGTGGTGACTTATATCCTTTACGGCAGACAGCATCTCTAAGCCGACTAAACACATGAAAGAGCAACAGAATCTATAAGTCATCTTTAAAGAGAAAAAAAAATCATCTCTGTAAGTTGTTGGTCTGTATTTGTTGGTCTCTGCAGGCGGTCTACATGTTCTATGCTCTGGCTTTGGTGTGTGATGACTACTTTGTCCCCTCGCTAGAAAAAATCTGTGAGGTAAGAAACCAATGGGAGCTTTTGGTGATGAGTGATTGATGCGTGAGGAGAAAGCTCATCCTCTCTTCCTCCCACTCTGTCCATCAGAACCTGCACTTGAGTGAGGATGTTGCAGGAGCCACCTTTATGGCAGCGGGCAGTTCAGCTCCTGAACTGTTCACCTCTGTTATTGGTGAGAAACACAAAGACTTTACTGGATTTATTCAAACACCATAAGGTGGACATTCATTAGTCACTTACAGCATATGTAGTACTTTGAGGAATTTTACGTTTAATATCTGTATGATGTGAAACATATGTGATCCGGCTGTTGAACAGGAGTGTTCATCACCAAAGGCGACGTTGGTGTCGGGACCATCGTGGGCTCTGCTGTCTTTAACATCCTCTGTATTATTGGAGTGTGTGGTATATTTGCTATCCAGGTACAGTATAACACACACAGTCATACACACATTGGTTATCAAATGTTTTCAACAAAAAAGGTGTATAT